CCCACTGATTTTGGAAGACCTAAATATTTCCATAGCCTTTAATTCGAGGAGTCGGTCGGGTTCAAGCTGACTTCTGGACGTCAGGTCAAGTGTCCTGGCGTCCCACGGCGGATCTGATTACAGCTCTTTGGCTGGGATGCGCAAAAGCCGAACTGAGCGTGCTCAGAGAGGGCTGTTATTATTTCCCTGGGTCATGTGTTGTTTTTCCTCAGTTCATTGGTTCTCTTTGATCTCCCAGTGCTGTCGTGCGGATCACAAGAGAAACAGATGCTCAATTTTAAGATATCGCAAAGTCAAAACGTTAGACAACTAACTGTCCCCTACAGGATGAGCCCCTTTAGGATGTCCTTATGTTTTTTACCTACAGCAAAGATAAAACTAGCATTTTATCAGATTTACTACTTGCTTTAATAAATGTTATTGGTCATATTGTGCACCTTATTTTAAGTCTTCTTGCCACTAAAATACATTTTCTGCTGACATAATCAATATAAATAATATAAATAAGCCCTGATATTTAGGGATGCACCAATATGATTTTTTTTAAATAAATCCAAATCCAAATTTTTATATAATATTTGAGAGCCTGATTACAAAAACAAAAGTCTCACCATCCCAAGCACACAATTATAATGATCTTCTCATCATAATTTTATGACAAACTTGCGCTGCACGTTGCACTTAACTGTGTTCTCCTTTTTCAAAGTGATTCCAATCATATTTCAAGCAATTCAAAACCATCACGCACCTGACGTGTCTCAGCGGAAGAAAATAATACATTATTTATCAGCTTTAATATATCAGCCAAATTGTCTTATCAGGCCGATAACGATAACATTAAAAATGAACATATGTCGGCCAATAACAATATGGTGGCCGATGTATCGTGCATCCCTAATTATTGTTATATATAGATTACTATAAAGAAATATCATAGCCTAACATGTTTCTATACAATCAAATCTCTAAATATTTTTTAAAATATTAAAAAGTGGTAACCTGCAATTGTTACCTATTTTTAAATCCATAAAAACTAGTTGTGTTGGTATAAATGAATGTATTTCGGTTGATTCAGCAATAATAAATAATAAAACTGAAATATATAACTAAAACAAATATATTAAACACTATATACACATACATAAAATATCTACATATAAATACCTTCATATAAATAGCTTTTTTATATATGTAAATATATGTATATTACGTTAAAAAACTAAAAATAACTCAAATATTCATCAAAACTATAATTATATGTCAATGATACTAAATCAACACTGATTCAAGGGATTAATGAGCAAATTAAATATTGAACTTAAGTCAAACATCAATGATGATTCAACAAATAGCTAAATCTGCCTGTGTCTAACATCAGCAGCGCAATATACTAAACTCTAATCGACTTCTATTGTAGGAGGCTTGTTTTGTGTCCATTAGTTGCCATTAGCAACTTGATTATTTAAAAACACCATTATCCATTGTACACTAAGATCCATTGTGTCTAAACATGAACAGTAATCATGTTACGACCGTTATATAGGGTGTGGACGTGAAACTGGAGCAATCGTACTGGCCTCCTTTCAACACACTCACATGTCAATTGTTTGCTTAGGGCGGTTGTTTGATAAGCACTAACTAATTCTGGAGAATAATGCTATACTTTAACAAACCTAAAAGGCACAATAATGATTTAAGGACTCTGAAATCACTACTACTTTATGGGAATAAATCTATATCCCATTGATTCCAAATGATTACCCGTAAATCTGGGATCTGGCATGTGCCTCGGTCATGTGACTCATCACGCCTTCAGCAAACTAACTCCGTAATAAGGATATCAACACAGCATTAACCGGTTTAACAACATTAAATCCTCCCTTTGATTACAGTTACCGACAGACATCACTGAATCAGACCCGTCTTTGCACTCTTTCTGCCTACAAAGCAAACTGCATGTTCAGTTTTGCTGGTATGTCTTTTGAGGGAGAGATTTTGGAGATTGGCCCGGTCCAATTCAAAGTGGCTGAAATCTTAAACAGGACCTTTAAACATTAAAAAAGTGCATTGCTTATTATCTTTAACTAAATTCAAGCTGCATGACTTTATGCATTAATGAACTGATGATGATGATGATGATGATGAATACAAATAAAGTGGTCAGAAAAGCATTAATATTCACTACCAGGCAAACGTTTGGACACAGCTACGACTATTGATTGATTGATTGATTGATTGATGACCACTATATATATATATATATTCACTGCCCGGTCAAAACAAAAAAAAAGGTTGCTGTTTGGATTTAAATAGGCAAATGCTTAAGAGTCTATGATTGGATCATTATTGCAGTGATTATTATGTTTCTAGCATGTTATATGTTTGGCAAGAGTTCTTCTAATCCTAATTAATGGAGTGTGTAGCTTTACATTTCATAAACAGACATGTAGGAAGACACATCATGATCATATTCCAGGATGACAATGTCAAGATTCATCAGGCTCAAACTGTGAAAGAATGGTTGTGAGGAGCTTGAAGAATCATTTTCACACATGAATCGTCTCCTCTGAGTCCAGATCTTAAATTCACTGAAAGTCTTTGGGATGTGCTGGAGGAGACTTTACAGAGCGCTGGACTCTTGCATTGTCAATGCAAGATCTTGACCAAAAATATATAAACCTCTTGATAGAAATGAATGTTTTGATGTTATTTACATCAAGAGGTGCATACATTTTTGGTCAAGATCTTGATCTTGCCATGTTGTGTCTTCCTACATGGTTGTTGAAGAAATGAAAAGATACACACTCCATCAATTAGGGATAGAAGAACTCTTGCCAAACATATAACATGCTAGAAACATAATAATCACTGCAATAATGATCCAACCATAGTCATTATGAAGAATGAATATCTGTAAGAGTCTATTTATTTACCTTTATTATTATTTTGCCATTCACACTTGCTAAACATGACTGGATAGGAATAGGATATGCACAAATATTAAGGGCTTAAGATGAGGCTTAAGTGCCTGTTTACAACTGGTCACTTCATGCGTTTTCTCTGACCGGATAGCTCTCAGATCGTGAAAACACCAGGTGTAAATGCCCTCGAGATGGATTTAAATCCAATCACTGATTTGAGACGCATTTCAATCAAAACTAGACAAGTGTAAATGCATCTGGTTGTTGAAGCCACATATGTAAATTTTACTCCTCCCAAAATGGTACAAAAGAAATGCGTGAGAGCGTGTTGTAGGCTAATGGTAAACAGATATGACAGTGCTACTGTAACAGCTGAAGATCTCTTCAGCAAGCCAAAACACACAATCATCTTCATTAAAAACAGTGAGGCTAAATTATTTCACCAATGCTGATGCTGCTTACTCTCCTCTTGAAATTAGCTCATGATTAATAAAATGCAGTAGTTCCTAACTATAGCTTTCATTGACGTGATTTGGATTTGAAGATATGGATTTATATTTGTTTTGCGGAGACATTTATGTGGCCATGTGTAGATGGAACAGTTTTAACAAATTGGACAGCTGTCCGATCAGTGGAAATGCATGAAGTGGCCAGGTGTAAACAGGCCCAAAGTGAGTCCAGATTTCATCCCGTAGAGTAAATACTGGCGTTTACTATGCGTCACGATGCCAGCATATGTTAAGTCTGAGCTCTCATGAGCGAGACATTCTTAACATCACTATGACATTCCACAGAAGGATCATAATGAAAGTGGAAGCTTGTCTGAGCCACAAACTGATTGAGCTTTAATGTCTTGGACTTGAGTGCACTGATTAATCACACTATTTCCCTCACTTCCTGTGATTTAGAGGATGCTTCCCGTCAGGAGCAGGGCCAGAGCTTTCTCTTTCTTAACTCCCTGTAAGTGTCAGATGCATCACTTTTCAGCTTTAAAATGTCTCTGCAAATCACCTGACCTGACATCATCTACAACAAAATTCACTCCAGTCCACACTGCGAGGCCCACCAACCCCTGCTCATAAATAACAACACGTGTGATTGGCTGCCTACAGGCATGATGTCACTGGGTCAGTCCAGCTGCGTGCCCCACATTTGAGCAAGTCAGTAGGTTCAGAAACAAGCACTACGCACTAAACTAAGGGGTGTAGAAACTATTTTAAAAGGTTGAGGTGATGCAATGAATGGCAAATGCTGAATTTCAACACCCATGTGCAAAATACAAGTGTTTAACTCATTTATCAGCAAATCTCTTTAACTCTTTCCTCACCAGTGTTCAGCCAGAGCCAGCATTTTTAATCATTTTTACAAAAGTTTCATGGCCCCCAGAATATGTTGATGTATGAATATCTGAACATACAATATGTCAAAAGAAAGAACAGACCCTCTGATAAAAAAATAAAAAAAGTTTGAGAAAATCGTGTTTTGTCAAAGACTACTGGATCTGTGGATCATATTCAGAACGATGATCAAAACATAGACGGAGTAGATCGAGTCCATCAACACCCCAAAGCTTCAGTCCTATAACTCATCCTGGGTCGACTTTTGATTCAGTAACATTAGCCAGTTTTGATTTCTATGTTGTTTAATGTTGATGATTGCGTTATCATCTGCTATCCCTTGTTTCTGCTTCTTCGCACGTTTTGAAAAGGAGATTCAGAACTTGTACAGAAGATGCATAATAGCGCCCCCTACCGTATAAGAGTGAAAACAGGACATTTTCGTCAATGGCGGGAGTAAAAAAATTAAAAAAAATTTTTTTATTAATATTTTATTTGATTTGAGTTAATGTAACAGAAGAAAGAAACTCTGAAAGAGAGTCAATCGTGTGTGAACTAGTGCTGTCAAATCGATTAATCGTGATCGTTAATCGCATCTGACATTTATAAAAAATGATAAATATAATATATACACACATATATTATATAAGCACAAACTTTTCTGCTAGATGCGATGAATCGCGATTAATCGATTTGACAGCACTAAGGTGACCTAAGTTAGGTTTGTTCGAGCTCACGTTACCTTTCTGCAGGTGGATGATGTCTGGAAAGTTGGACAGCAGGCCCTGATACAGCGACAGTTTATCCAGCATCTGAAACAGGTCGTATTTGGGCTGTTCGGCGAACATCTCCCCGATGTTCTCGTAGGTGCGGCCTGTGTGCGAGATGGCGTTGCTCAGGGCGTCCGAGCTGTAAGGAGGGTCCAGCAAGAAGGACTGGCTGATGGACTGGAAGCCGTTCCCCAGCCTCTGGAACTCCTTCCGAAATCCTCCGAGGTGTTTGCGGACTAGTTCCGACGCGACGTGCGTCAACTGCATCACGCTGTCGTCCATCTTTTTGGCGAACGCCTTGAAGGTGTCAACGCGCTCCTCCACGTCCTGAAGGTCCTGGTGCTCGTTGGGAATCTGGAAGGTGAGCATGAAATGAGCCCCGACCATCTCGTCCTTCTCTGCCCTCCTCTTCCCGAGTTTCCACTGTTTGTCGTCTCCGCACATGAGGAAGTGTTCGAAACCCTCATATTGAGACAGCACCGGGTGGCTCGTCATGTGGTCCATCCATAAAATGAGCCTCCTCTTCCTCTTATCGATGAAGTCTTCCTCGAACCGTCCCGTGGCCTGTTTTTCAGGGAGGTGCGGCACGGAAATCACCGTGAATTTGTGCAGTAGTCTATTGTACAGCCAGTCAAAGTGCTTGTAGCGGCGGTAAACCGGCCTGGCAATGTGACTGGGGGTCACGCGGTACGAGATGTACGTCTTAATGCCTTTGAACTTCGTCTGTTTGGTAGGGTCTTCAATGGAACAGGAGAAGGGTTGAGGGCTCTCCTTCCACTGCGGCCCCCGGGGGCCCATTTCGATGGAGTACGACTCTGCGATCTTAGCCATCATGGGAACGTCGCCAAGTACGAAGGCCTCCACACCTGAGCGCACGAAGCTGGAGAATCGGTTCAAGTTTCTGCCCACCATGCTGCCCTTCCTGTTGCTCGACATGCTGTCCTGACGCTCCATGTGTGGCTTGGTCCGGTAGTGGACGTTGGGGTTGGAATATGGACTTTGGGAATGTCCATTGGCACCAACCCCTCTCCGAGGGTCTTCATCCTCAACCACCGTTGAGGTTTCATCCCAGTCGTCCCAGTCGTCATCGTCGTCACTCGGCGGGGTCGGGGTAGTTGTGTGGATGTACGACAAATCCTTACCAGGAGAGCTTCCAGGTGAACTGAGGGATTGATCCGTCAGGTTGGACCCGGATCGGCGCCGAATGATCTGGACGTACGAGGCAGGAAACAAGCCTCGCTCTCCTCGGCTGTTCTCCCCTTGTAGCCAGCCGTCCACAGAGTTCTCGTCGAAAATAACAAGCTCTTCGCTCTCCTGGATGCTTATCTCCTCCTTGTTCTCACTTTGGAAAGTGTAGAGGGCTTTGGCTCTCAGGGACATTTTTGTAACTTTTGCAAGACAGATGCAAAGAAAATGGGCCACAAAAAAATTTCCCTTACGTCATATCAGACTGCAAATCTAAGAAAAAAGGGGCTTAGATAAATTAAAATTTAACTGGGTATGTAGTACAGCAGTATTTATTAATGTATTCATAGCACTTTAATAAAACTAGTAGTTTTGAGGGTGTTGGTAAATACCATTCTTCAAGATAAAGATCTTCAAGCCTTTTTAAAGTTACTGACCACAAAGAAGACAACAGAAATCTTAATTTTCCTCGGAAATAATATCCGATATTCTACATTTGATAAAGAGTTACATGTTGGAACTCCCTGTCAGGTTGTTATTCTCCAACTTCCCTTAATTTATGTCGTTTCATTATTCCCACAAAACCAGAATCTTCAGCCGCAAAAAAATAAACCCATAAATCCACAAATCCCGTCCAGCAGAACTGAGACACCGGCAAACACATTCAGTTCAGTGCCTCATCATAACAAAAGTTTTAGCCATCTTGCATGCTGTGAAAATATTTAAAAACAAACAGCTGTTTTGCAACTCCGGCTGAACTAAACTCCAGATGAAAACATTATACCAACATTCCGTCCCGGACAGATATGAGAAATAAACGTATCCTTTGCATTCCGCCAACAAAAGAACAAAAACTTCATCTAAAGCATCTGTATAATCCCCAGATCCAGTTCAAATCGCTGTGCACTCAAAGTATTTCCTTCGAGGTGTGATTCACCAGGCTAAGAGTTTTTCATAAAGTATTTCTTTACTTTGAGCAGAAACGCAGTAACTCTTTCCATGACGTGACGATCGAACAATGAGAGTCGCGCAGTTTAGTGTGAGATTTACAGTCACGTTTGTGGCGCCGCCCGACGGTCAAGAAAACAACTGAAGGATCTGACTGAAACAGTTTCAGGTCAACTCAAAACACATCCGATTGAATACAGTAACTCACCTAGATAGTGTACAATACCTTGTAGTGACAAATGATGGCGTTGTTACCAATGACAATGAGGCAAAACGTTTTGAGGGCGCAGGGCGTCCGAATCTGCCATTCAGCCACATTCAAATTTTAGGACGTTTGTTTGTTATCGGAGACATTTGTTTATAAGAAAGTATAATATTTTAAATATAAAATTTCAAATGATTACATTGAAATCCGCACAGAACTCTTTATTTAAAAAAAAAGTTACATAATAATCATAAATACTCTTATCCAATAATCACAAATGGCTGTGATTGGTCTATCCTAATACAGCGATGAGAAAACTAACAAGTACCACGTGACAATAGGCAAAGCCAAATGGGTGGAGCTTGACGTCCAGCTCCACCTCTGTGAACCTAGTGAAGCGCCAATCAAGCGCCACTCACTGGCTGTTGACATTATTGCAAGCCCTTCGAACACTAACCTAATGAAAAACATGTTTATTGCTGAAAAACCCCCAAAAACAAACAAGAGAAAGAATTGCATGCAATTTAAGATGCTAGCATATAATAATGCCTTACCCTTTTCTAATATTTTTTTATGATTTTTCAGCATGCGACGAACGGCGTGAACAAACTTACAAGTGATCTGTGCACTCCTACCTTGTTTTTTAAGGCTACCGGTATGTAGGCTATTTGTGAATTCATTCTAATCATATCTAGTTGATTAATGTAATACACCGTACCAAATGTTGCTGAAATTATTTCTATTAATCTTCATCATCCAAAATACACAGCTAACATAGTCAATCTTTAATAAACAAGATATTAATAATACTAAATTTAATTTTAGTATATTACATCTCAGGAACACAACATTTGTTTTTCATGAGATTTTTTTTTTTTTTTTTTACAAAACATAAAACTGCAAAACATTTGCATAATCAATATAATCCTCAATATTATTGGAATTCGAATCTTCCCAGCGAAGTGTTGTGTCTGTGTTTTCTGTTAATGTGAACCAGCAAGTTCTTTTTATTTATTTGAATGCCACAGTGTGTGCAAGACACCCTGACTTGCTGCCGGACACGTAATCTTACTGCAGACGATGGTGCTACTGCTGGGAATGGAGGTCCTTCTGATGGAGGTCCTTCTACTGTGGTTGGAGGTCCTTCTGATGGAGGTCCTTCTGGTGTGGATGAAGGTCCTTTTGCTGAGAATTGGGGTATTTCTGATGGAAGTTCTGCTGTGGATGGAGGTCCTTCTGTTGGGGTTGGAGGTATTTGTGATGGAGGTACTTTGGCTGTGGATGGAGGTGGTGCTGCTGGCGGCACTATGGGTGGAGGCTGTCTGTATGACGTATGTTTACAAGTTGCTAAATGTTTAATCAGAGCATCTCTTCTGATTAATGTTGATGTGCAGTAGCAGCAGTGGAAGTGTGGTGTTTGTCTGCAGCCTAGACCACACTTGATGATGACAAAACCTAAAATGTAGAAAGAATAAGTTCAATAGTCATTAGTAAAATAATACAGTTTTGTACAGTGATCCTGTAGAGGTTTTGGGATAAACCGCCTCTAACAATGATAAAAATTGACATAAAATAAGACAGATTGAGATAAAAGAACATAAGTGGAAAAAGCAACATAAAAGAATAAAATAAATGAGCCTATAACTGTTGGGCTAAGGAATATTAATCAATTCGAGGGAGAAATAATAAGGGTTGATAAACTTACACACACACAGTATAATTGAGCTGTATAAAGAAATTTAAATGAATTCACACACACCTTCCTGTTGAACAGCATTTCGAATGTGATTTGTAACATGATTTTGTGCCTCGTGTAAATATTTATGCAGCATTGTACAGTAGTCACAGTGGTACATGTTGCAGCACACCGAGCATCTCTCAATGGAGAGAAGCGGATCTTGTCCTCGCCTCAGAATTGTCCGATGCATCTGTGCAGGTTAAACAAACACACACCATTAACATCTGTCAGAAAAAATAAATATGTTTAAAAAATATGATGACTTCTTATGAATGCATACAACTGACCACACTTGCTAAAAGTTGCCATAGGCAATCTCCACCTGTGTATTGTTTTTCAAGAGCACAGTTTGGATAAATAGTAGCTAGCTCATTTAATGCTCTATCAATAGTATGAATCTATGGAAGATTGTTTCTGCCATGGAATTTTAACAAATAATAAAAGGAAATTGTGACTTTTCATCTTGCAATTCTGACTTTTTTTCCTCAGAATTTTGAGATATAAACTCGGAATTACAAAAAGTAATTACGACTTCATCTCGCAATTCTGATTTTGATTCGATTTTCTGGCAATTGTGAGTTTATATCTTGCAATTCTGACTTTATTTTTTGCAATTCTGAGTTTATAACTCACAATTCTGACTTTTTTCTCAGAATAGTGAGATATAAATTCGATTTTGCAAGTTATACAGTCCGAATTGTGAGATATAAACTTGCAATTGCGAGAAAAAAAATTCAGAATTGTGAGAAAAAAAGTCGCAATTACCTTTTTTATTTTGTGGCAGAAAAAAGCTTCCACATCATCATCTACATTCATACTCAATATTACTGGAAATCAAATCGTCCCAAAAAAGTGTTGTGTCTGTGTTTTCTGTTAATGTCAACCAGCAAGTTCCTTTTATTTATTTGAATGTCACAGTGTGTGCAAGACACCCTGACTTGCTGCCGGACACGTAATCTTACTGCAGACGATGGTGCTACTGCTGTAGATGGAGGTCCTTCTGATGGAGGTTCTTCTGCTGTGGATGGAGATTCTTCTGCTGTGGATGGAGATTCGTCTGCTGTGGATGGAGGTCCTTCTGATGGAGGTTCGTCTGCTAGGGATGGCGGTTCTTCTGCTGTGGATGGAGGTCCTTCTGATGGAGGTTTGTCTGCTAGGGATGGCGGTTCTTCTGCTGGGAATGAAGGTCCTTCTAATGGAGGTTCTTCTGCTGTGGATGGAGGTCCTTCTGATGGAGGTTCGTCTGCTAGGGATGGAGGTTCTTCTGCTGTGGATGGAGGTCCTTCTGATGGAGGTTCGTCTGCTAGGGATGGCGGTTCTTCTGCTGTGGATGGAGGTCCTTCTGATGGAGGTTTGTCTGGTGTGGATGGAGGTCCTTCTGATGGAGGTTTGTCTGCTGTGGATGGAGGTCCTTCTGATGGAGGTTCGTCTGCTGTAAATGGGGGTCCTTCTGATGGAGGTTCGTCTGCTGTGGATGGAGGTCCTTCTGATGGAAGTTCGTCTGGTGTGGATGGAGGTCCTTCTGATGGAGGTTTGTCTGCTGTGGATGGAGATTTGTCTGCTGTAGATGGAGGTCCTTCTGATGGAGATTCGTCTGCTGTAGATGGAGGTCCTTCTGATGGAGGTCCTTCTGGTGTGGATGAAGGTCCTTTTGCTGAGAATTGGGGTATTTCTGATGGAAGTTCTGCTTTGGATGGAGGTCCTTCTGTTGGGGTTGGAGGTATTTGTGATGGAGGTACTTTGGCTGTGGATGGAGGTGGTGCTGCTGGCGGCACTATGGGTGGAGGCTGTCTGTATGACGTATGTTTACAAGTTGCTAAATGTTTAATCAGAGCATCTCTTCTGATTAATGTTGATGTGCAGTAGCAGCAGTGGAAGTGTGGTGTTTGTCTGCAGCCTAGACCACACTTGATGATGACAAAACCTAAAATGTAGAAAGAATAAGTTCAATAGTCATTAGTAAAATAATACAGTTTTGTACAGTGATCCTGTAGAGGTTTTGGGATAAACCGCCTCTAACAATGATAAAAATTGACATAAAATAGGACAGAGATTGAGATAAAAGAACATAAGGAGAAAAAGCAACATAAAAGAATAAAATAAATGAGCCTATAACTGTTGGGCTAAGGAACATTAATCAATTCGAGGGAGAAATAATAAGGGTTGATAAACTTACACACACACAGTATAATTGAGCTGTATAAAGAAATTTCAATGAATTCACACACACCTTCCTGTTGAACAGCATTTCGAATGTGATTTGTAACATGATTTTGTGCCTCGTGTAAATATTTATGCAGCATTGTACAGTAGTCACAGTGGTACATGTTGCAGCACACCGAGCATCTCTCAATGGAGAGAAGCGGATCTTGTCCTCGCCTCAGGATTGTCCGATGCATCTGTGCAGGTTAAACAAACACACACCATTAACATCTGTCAGCAAAATATATAAAAACTATGATGATTTCCATGCATATCTGTCAAAATCTAACCCTTAACATGTAACTGTGTGTTGTGTCTGTGGTGTGTTGCATCTATGTTGCATCTGTATTGTGTCTGTAGTGTGTTGTGTCTATGTGTGTCTACTTTCCTGTAGCTCAAACAGTAGAGTGTTGGTTAGCTTTCCTGTAGCTCAAACAGTAGAGTGTTGGTTAGCTTTCCTGTAGCTCAAACAGTAGAGTGTTGGTGCATGCAACGCCAAGGTCATAGGTTTGATTCCCAGGGAAAGCAAGAACTGATAAGAATGTAAATGTGTACCTTGAAATGCAATGTAAGTCGCTTTGGATAAAAGCGTCTGCCAAATGCGTAAATGTTAATGTTGTTTCTGTGGTGTTACGTCTATGTGGTGTGTTGCGTCTGTGGTGTGTTGTACAGGGTATTGCATAGAATGTATATTCTGTTGTGTCTGTGGTGTGTTGTGTCTGTGGTGTGCTGTGGTGTGTTTGTGGTGTGTTGTGTCTATGTGTTGTGTTTGTGGTGTGGTGCTGTGGTGTGGTGTGTTGTGTCTGTGGTGTGGTGTGGTGTGTTGTGCTGTCGTGTGTTGTGTCTGTGGTGTGATGTGCTGGTGTGTTGTGTCTATGTGTTGTGGTGTGGTGCTGTGTTGTGCTGTGGTGTGTTTGTGGTGTGTTGTGTCTGTGGTGTGTTCTGTCTATGTGTTGTGCTGTGGTGTGTTGTGCTGTGGTGTGTTTGTGGTGTGTTCTGTCTATGTGTTGTGCTGTGGTGTGTTGTGTCTATGTGTTGTGTCTATGTGGTGTGTTGTGTCTATGTGTTGTGCTGTGGTGTGTTGTGTCTGTGGTGTGTTGTGTCTGTGGTGTGTTGTGTCTATGTGTTGTATCTATGTGTTGTGTCTGTGGTGTGGTGTGTTGTGTCGGGTCTGTGGTGTGTTGTGTCTATGTGTTGTGCCTATGTGTTGTATCTATGTGTTGTGTCTGTGGTGTGGTGTGTTGTGTCGGGTCTGTGGTGTGTTGTGTCTATGTGTTGTGCTGTGGTGTGTTTGTGGTGTGGTGTGTCTATGTGTTGTGCTGTGGTGTGTTTGTGGTGTGGTGTGTCTATGTGTTGTGCTGTGGTGTGTTTGTGGTGTGGTGTGATGTGTCTGTGGTGTGATGTGTCTGTGGTGTGTTGCGTGTGTGTGTGTTGTTCGTGAGCTGCACTCACCGGCACATTATTGTCATTTTCCGGGGCCGGACACGGACTCGGGACAGTCGCAGAGGTGAAACTCATCTTCGGGAGAGGAGCTGCTGCAGCGCTGACGGTGTTGACTGATAGCCGTGGAGTTTGTGTGAAAAGAAAGAAGAGAATTTGGGGAGTTTGACCACATTCTTTTTTGTCTCCTCTTTTTTCTGCCTCGCTGGGGTAGCTGCGTTTCATTATTAATCCTGACAACTTCAACCTCACTCTACTGCAAATGTTTTCGCTGAAACTAATTCAACAGACTCTGCTCCGCTGCTGTAACTTTCTCTACCTTCTTCTTCTTTCTCTTTGGAGTATTTGGCGTTTTCCGCACTATTCCGCCACCTACTGTTTCCTCTCCTAACATGGATGGATGTAATGTTGTAATGTAAAAATGTAATGTGATATCCTGACCATACAAAATGAATATGAAAAGTATTAATTGCTTATTTAAATATATAAAAAAATAAGTATTACGTTATATTTTATTTATTTGGGGGTACACGGTGACAAGTCAAATTGGGATTCATATTATTTAGACCAATTATAGACAACATCTGCAACGTCTCACTACATACTCTATTTCCTCTTTTTTGTAATGCTTATTTGCTTTAGAACTTGAACAGGGTGTATTGCATAGAATCTATATTTTTTAACTGAATTAGTATTTAGTAAATCGAATGAAATTTAACAACAATACAATGATTTTGAGATGAATAAGTGCAAACATGCATTACAGAAAAGAAGAAGAAGGGAAAAGGGGAAGAACAAAATAAAGGGGGAGGGGTGGGGGGCAAGGGTTTACCTTTCAAGTCACATTCTTCTATTGGTTTTGAGATTAATAATTTAATACCTCACCAATCGCTGAAACTCCGCGACGGATTTTGGTCGGCCGCGGTGAGGATTGATGACGTCAGCGCGCGCCATTGCGTTTCAAAGCGTGTTTCTCTGCATAACAAGTAGGTGTTGTGTATTTCACTCTTCAGGTTTGTCATTCCCTTCGTATTTCTATTACTCAGCATAATGAGTAAAGGACCTTAGAGCAGCTCTGATGGGATTGTGATCACGTGTTTACAGCCTGCAGTCGGTTTATCTGTACGTGACATGCTGGTGTTTGTTTTGTGTTTATTCAAATGTGATAATATAGGTGATGCCCGTTGGCTTTTGAAATACGTCATTGGTCTTATATACATAACCAATTTTTATTATTGCATGATGATGTGAACTCTTGTGTTTGTTGTCACAGGTCCATCATGGAGTCTCTGACCCAGGCTCTCTCCTCCAGCTTCTCTGTATCCAGAGAACCCAACAGCACATCTGCTCCCCATCCCCGCCTGGCCCAGTACAAGAGCAAATACAGTGTTCTGGAGCAGAGTGAACGGCGCAGGAGGTTCCTGGAGTTCCAGAAAGAGTGAGTTAAAGTCACCATGAAATCAAAACGGACAATTCTCAAACACCCGTGTATCTGCTTAGCAGCTTAAAGGGTTAGTTCACCCAAAAACGACAATTCTGTCATTAATTACTCACCCTCATGTCGTTCCAAACCCGTAAGACCTTTGTTCATCTTCGGAACACAAATTAAGTTATTTTTTTATGAAATTGTTGACCCCATATTGACAGCAACATCATTACTACCTTCCTGAGCCTTAAAAGTTGCAAACACATTGTTAAAATAGACCATGTGACTACAGTGGTTCAACCTTAATGTTATGAAACGACAAGAGTACTTTTTGTGCGCCAAACCTTTCTGGGCCTTGAAAGTTGCAATGACGTCAGAAACCTCTTCGATTTCATCAAAAATATCTTAATTTGTGTTCCAAAGATGAACGAAGGTCTTACGAACGACGTTTGGAACGACATAAGGGTGTGTAAATAATGACAGAAATTTAAATTTGGGTGAACAACTACACCTTTAATCACCTACAATTCCCTAGCAACCCTTGGGCTTTATTTTGACGCAGTGACACTAATCAAAAACATTATGTTGTCAGGAAAAGGCTGAACTACGTGAATCACGCCCGTCGTCTGGCAGATGGAGACTGGACCGGAGTCGACAGTGAGGATGAGGAGGACGAAGAGAAGAAGAGTCCGCAACAGCTGGAGAACAGCGCAGATGAAGAGGGGATGGAGATTGAGCAGAGGAAAAAGCTACCGAAGCATTACGCCAACCAGGTGCTCAAAAAATTGCTGACAGAAAAACAGATATTGTCATTTACATAAACAAGCTATAAAGGGACAGTAGCAAAAACATCTTGTTCATTTAGAAGGATTGAAAAGACTGGAAAATACCCACACAAAGCTAAAGTAAAAAGGCCAAGCCCAAAATGGCTAAACAATGAAGATTTTAATTGTCTTAATGACAAATTATTGGTCAGGAAATGAGCAAAATTGAAGCAAATGCACTAGTTAAAAAGCCATTGCTGTCTTCAGATAAACATCAAAGACCGAATTAAGTTTTTGGCAGAATATGGAGTGATGAATCACAATTAAACACACAGTGATGCTCCAGAGCGATGTCTTCCAAAATCTGCTTAGAAATATAATAATAAATGCATCTCTACCACAGTGAAGCATGGAGAAAGATAGCATTTTCAGCTGCTTCACTGTGAAGAGTCGTTTAATGATTTGGAGTACAGGAGAATATTGCAGAATGGCTTGCTTCCCAAAAATAAAAAGTTATCTAAAGAGGAATGATCGGATGGCTATTATGTTTCAACAAGACAATGCTCTTGCCCAAAGATCAAGTCCATCAGGCTCATGTTTTGTCCTGGTCAGAGTCCAGATTTGAACCCTATAGTGAGTATTTGGTCTCACATTAAAGGGATAGTTCACTTTGAAATTAATTTTTGGTATGTTTTAGCTTACCTCAAGAGCATCCAAGATGTAGGTGTCTTTGTTTCCGCAGTAGTTTCAATTTTGATATTTTTAGGTCAAACCGTTCTTGTCTGTCAGTCATATAATGCAGGTCTATGGTCACCACCTCAAAGAGCATGCACAGAGAAGTCCAAATTAAACATGATTTAATGACTCGTAAATGTAAGTACACATTGATGGCATAAGACACGAAACGAGCGGTTTGTGTGAGAAAACGAACAGTATTTATATCGTTTTTACCTCTTGTAACCACAGCCACGTCCAAGTGATCTGAGGGCGCCGGCGCTTCGGTCTGCGCAAGCGCCGGAAGTGATATCTTACAAAAAAAAACAAAAAAAATCAACGTTGTCTGTTGATATATCGAAATCGTCTTCCATTGCGATTTCCTGTATATCTAAATATGTTTAGATCTTCACAGTGAAAGGTAACACTTCCGAAATCTCTGTGTAAACAATGAGTGACGTACACGCGCGAGAGAGAGATCACTTCCGGCGCTTGCCGGAAAAGACCGAAGCGCCCGCGCCCTCAGATCACTTGGACGTGGCTGTGTTTACAAGAGGTAAAAACGATATAAATACTGTTCGTTTTCTCACACAAACGGCTCGTTTCGTGTCTTAGGCCATCAATGTGTACTTACATTTACGAGTCCTGCATTATATGACTGACAGACAAGAACGGTTTGACCTAAAAATATCAAAATTGAAACTACTGCGGAAACAAAGACACCTACATCTTGGATGCCCTTGAGGTAAGCTAAAACATATCAAAAATGAATTTCAAAGTGAACTATCCCTTTAAACTCAAACAAACAGAGACATTTCTCGATTACTCGTGAACTGGTTGAAGCCATTAACATTGAGTGGAATAACACTGTTATTCCTGTAAATAGCTCTCTGCAAGTTGGGAAAGGCTATTCTGTGCTAAGGTACTTTATCTACAGTATTTGTGCAGTTCTTGCTAATTTTCTGACAAGTGATTTGTGATTAAAGTGGTTAAAAGACTAAATGTTTAGCCATTTTTGGCCCATTTCTTTTGCCCAGGAGTGTACAATGGTTTTCAGTTAAAGATACTAGTATTAATAACATATTTATAAGCTAAAAGTGGATACTTTTACCATATATAATATTCCTACTATAATAAATATAATATAATAAAAATACAAATTTGTGAAATACATTTTTATGATAATGCTGTCTGGAAGTATAATTAATTAACAGTCTTTTAATAGAAAAGTTGTATTTTATATTTGTGTGATATCTCCAGCTGATGTTGTCAGAGTGGTTGGTGGACGTCCCTGCAGATCTGAGCTCTGATTGGCTGATGGTGGTTTGTCCAGTTGGGAAGCGTTCCCTCGTTGTTGCTTCCAAGGTTTGGACCTATTTTTTTGTTTTTTTCATCCAGCTTGCACATAATGTGATCAAACATACACTGCTGTTTGAATGTTTGGGTTTAGTAAGATTTTGTTTCTAAGGAAAATAATAGACTACTTTTATTAAGCTAGGATGCATTGAATTGATCAAAAATGACAGTAAAAACATTTGCAATGTTACAAAGGCTTTCTATTTCAAATAAATGCTGTTCTTTTGAACTTTCTATTCATCAAAGAATCCTTAAAAAATGATCACGGTTTCCACAATTTCAAGCAGTTGTTTTTAAAATTGATAATAATGAGAAATGTTTCTTGAGCAGCAAATTATATTAGAATGATTTCTGAAGGATCATGTGAGACTGGAGTATAATGAGTAATGATGCTGAAAAATCAGCTTTGCGTCACAGAAATAAATTACATAAAATATTAAAATAGGAAACAGTTCTTTTAAATTGTAATAATATTTCACAATATTACCGGGGTTTTTTTTTTTTTACTGTATTTTTGATCAAATTAATGCAGCCTTGATGAGCAGACGAGTCTTACTGACTGGAATGATTCAGCCTTTTCTGTTTAATTTTCATGTTTATTGTTTTATCCGTAGGGATCTACCGCCTCTTACACCAAAAGCGGCTACTGTGTCAATCGATTCCCTTCTCTTATCCCTGGCGGCAACAGACACAACTCTGCCCTGGGAAAAGGTCTGTATCTCTGCACCTGTCCTACAGATTTATCACACTAGAGTGTGCTAGAGGTCTGCTGTTCTGAGCCATCCTGGACAATAATTCTGATAAATATGTTTTCTATAGATTACACCATCCTGGACTGCATCTACAGTGACGTGGACAGAACATACTACATCCTGGATGTCATGTGCTGGAGGGGGCATCCTGTATATGACTGCTCAGTAAGTGATGACTTCCTCTAATGACATTTATATTATCGTTAGGGACATATTCTACACTTTCAGACCATTTTATATAATTAATTATGTTGAAGTACACTTATGTTTCTTGCATTAAAGCAGTCATAATTTAGTTTTAGATTTGTATACACTACCATTCAATATTTTGGGGTCAGTCATAATTATTTTTAAAGAAAATTAATACTTTG